GACAAACAGTTTTATATATAGAGATAGACATAGGTCAAAATTTCCCACCCCCATAGCTCGGTCAAATCCCAACCGGCTTTTAAGAGGTTTGGGTCTCTGTTCATGGCTTGGCCTTTAGATCAATTTGGCATCTAAATATCTATATATGAAATTAATGAATAGGTGGTTTTTTAATTGGCATACCGTCCGATCGGTTTCAAACTAATTTTAAAAGATCTTTGAGAGTATTTATTTTATACGTACCAAGGGCAAGGCCAGGGTATACCCGCTAGTATATATATAAATTTTTATAATGTAAAATAATCCGTGCTGCGATAAAAAAATCGATTGTTTAACCTACTGAGCCTCCTCGAACATCAATCGAATGTTTCTTGGATTGAGGATATATGTACATATCTTTTGTATCCCAGCTAGGACAGTGCGTTATGTGACAATATGTTTCCAGGGGACGACTCTTTTAATGTGGTTTCCCGTTGCATTTATCCAAATGTTGTCCTCCTTTATGCTGATGTATTCTAGTATCTTGCGTCTTTCTGTGTCAGAAATACAAAACTCCTCCTACTGGCTGATGCCCATCTCGGGTCAAGTCAGTCGGAAAGCAATTGGTTTTATTTTGCGCCTGACTTTCCCGGTGTTCAATTTAATAAACATTTTGGCAGTTATAAATAACCAATTTCCTTTGCTGAATCCTTCGATCGGCTACCCGAATTGGTGCTACACGCAAAACCCACACACACAAACCCGGTTGCCCCGTTGAGGGGCATTCAAATCGAAGCCGTTGAATAAATCAACGCCACAAATACACAAAAATTGAATTGTGGCCATCGCTTGCGGCGCTTGACCGGCTGCCCCCGGAACGCAGTGAGCGGACCGAACAAGCCGGCTGCCAAAGGTGTTAATATTCAATTAAAATTCTAGGTATACAGCGCGAATGCCCAATAAATTAGCGCTCAACAAGCGACTTGCCAATTTCAATTTGTTTTCGTATCACTTTTCTGCGTCTGTGCCGGCTCTCCGACGGCCCCGACAGCTCCGACTGGAAGGCGGAGGATGCCTGAGACCGGCTGCATTATTTATTGAGCTGCGCAGGTGGCAAGGGTTTACAGCTTGAAGAAGGCAAAGTTGAGATTTTCGATGGACTTGCGAGTTGTTGCCGGACTTTATGAAAGTAGTGTGCGTTTTGAACTGAACTGGTTCGAGTCCGGAACACCATTCGAATTTCTTAAACCAAACCAAACCAAACCAAAACCAAAAAAATCAAATTACATTTTAGATATTTATCTCTTAATAAAACTAAGTTACATTTGTATATAATTAATCTTAATTTCAATTATAAACAATTATAAAATGGTTGAATTCTATATGAATATTATATATACTTTTCAAGCGAACCGGTTCGCATCACAAATTCATTTAATTTTCTACTATGAATCGAACCTTGCACCGAAACAGTTTCTCACAAATCATCACGACTGCAAAAACCGAACTAGGCAACATTTTTTTTATTAACATATTATTTTAATATAAAAAAGTTTCATTTTCACAAAAATTTTAACCTTATATAATAATATTGAATTATGAAATTGAAGTGCTGCAATCTATGTAGTTGTGAACCGAACCTGTTCGAATCAATAAACCGAATATAACGATTGCAATCTAGCTGTGAACCGAACCTGTTCGAATCAATGAATCAATCTTATAGAAGGTCCAGCTCCAAGACATGAATAACTTAGGCACTAACCATTGCATTTATCTAACCATATTTAATAGACGCTCAACTTGGACATGAAACTTTTCGAACTTCCAGTAGAAGGGGCAATTAAAAAATGATAAATATAAAATTGAAAACCAGTTTCACGAACCAAAACTGATTTGCAGGGAGTTTCGTTCCACCGAATTTGGTTTGCAGCCCTGGTTCGTGTGTGCATGTCAGAGATTGAAGATTGAAGCTGAAGCGCTAATAAGCCAAGATGTCAAATGTAAACAAATCTACTTCAATCGGAACGCGAACATTAGCCGTTTACATTTCGCCGCTGCGATTGGTCGATTGCCTCGTGCCGCAGTTGGCCCGCACTGCGTGTGATCTTGTAATCGATGTTGTACTTAGTCGGACAGTTGTACTTACACCATGCTACGGCACGCTACGGCACGCTACGGCACGGCACGGCACGATATCGATTTAATGGACCCACAGCCACAAACGAAAACGATTGACGGCACACACCATGTTCCACGCAAGGAGAGGAGACAGTCGGAGGCTCTCAGCGGAGCCGAGCTGGAGATGGAGACAGGCTGGAGATGGAGCGACTTTTGGCTGCAACAGCGCGATATTTATCGCCGATATTGTGATTGAGACCCGTGGGGTCGACTACGCCTTGTTCGGATTGTGCTCAGTGCTCCGGCCTCGCACAGTGGGCACATTTGTAGTTTTTTTACCTAAAAAACATGTAACTGGAAACTGCAGAGATTTAAATTTAAATTATATTTTAAAATAAAGTTCAAAGTTCAGGTCTTAATTTTAAAAAAATAAACAAGAGTTTTTTTATCGGAAAAGCCCGACTAATAGATACCCTGTGTTGGATCAAGAGCGGCTGGTAAAAAGGCTTTAATAAAATGTAGTAAAGTTGCTCAGCGACAGGAGCTTCGTTCTCTGATGATGCGTATAAAAATACGTAATCTAAACTAAACTAAACATTAATATTATATTCGATCCTATTTGTCATTTCCACAAGTTTGACTTAGGCTAATTTCATTACCGACCTCTTTTTATAACGATTTCAAAAAAATTAAGAAATATATGTAATTTTTTTGTATTGAAACAACATTTCATTAAAAAAAAATGTAATGCGGCAATATAGAAGATATTTATTCTGCCGGTATATTCCTAATTAATTTTTATATTTTGAAATATTGAATAGTTAGGACCATTTAATAAATAAATAAATAAATATTATGTAGCAACAACTGATTGAATCTCTGTCTCACTATGAGTCCATTTAAAAAAGTAACTACATTGATCATAACATTCTGTAAGCAAAAGAAAATCATTTAAATTTAATCATTTAACTCATACTCAATACAATTTTGAGTGTTTCGACTCCACAGTGCGTTGACCGCACCGCCGCATGAGGTCCACATTCATGTCTGATTTTCTGAGCTGCAAACATAATGTTGCTCGTAGACACATACTTGATGCACGCACACTGTGCGAATCATCATTGTTGGGGGTATTCCGCTAACAATTGGCCTGGGGTTTGGGGTTTGGGGGTTGGGGGTTGGGGGTGGTGCGGGCTTGAAGACATACGATCGCTGATTGAGCTTAAGTCGTGATTAGTTGTAATTGTTGGAGAGCTTTTATAAGTAGTTAATTAACAAGAGTAAATGAATAGTTTAATAAAAAACTTTAAGCATTGTGTTAAAGAGAAAATCATGGATAGAGGGAGGCAAAATTAGAATAACTTATAGTCTTAATACCGATATTCTTTTGCTGACAATTAGATCGATAAGTTTTTAGAGATCAATGAACAAAATATATTTTTTGTCACAGATAAGCCCAAAAGAATGGGAACAACTCAATCTGATCTGACTGAATGATTGACAATCACATGATTGATAATCACAAGCGACACGAATATATTTTGCACAGTTACTTTTACTTTTTGTAATGTATGTAAACACTTAGATTGGTTAATTTCACTACCAAGGTTAACATTCTTGCTCATCTTTTATACCCATACGACCTTATTCAAAATACTTTTCTAAATGTACGAACTCCATTAGCATTAGTATAGTTTCCGTTCGTTTTTGCGAAGATCCTCGAAAATGAGTTTGGTGACGGAAACAATAGTTTCATACAACTATTTTCATCAATTTTTTTCACATTATTCTATTTATTATAGTTACAGTCAATCAGTTAGTCAGTCAGATAAATGTATATTGAATTCTATATATTTTCAGGCTGAGATATCGAAATGATGTCAGAAGGAAATTAAGGGCGAGTACTTGGGATCGATCCTCAGCACACCCCATTGATGTCTTTATATACTAATCAACGCTACAAAAGAAACCTCTGAATATAAATAAGGTTGTATACAAATACTACTATTATCAATAATCTTTGTTGCAGACTCCAGATGTTCATATACATTGCTATTTGGGGGAAGCTTTAACTCATTGCGAATTATAAAACCGAAGTACATCGAATGAGTTTAAATCTTTTCAATTACCAATTGTAAACAGTTATATACGAAATTCTTTTGAGATTCTCCCCTTTCATATTAAAAATGTGAATACTGAAGTAATAAAGGCAAAAATTATTTAATGAATTAAAATTTAGTAATGGAAAGTGCGCATTTATCTTCCTTGTAGACCCATAAAATGACTGCAACTTATATAATACAACCATTTGCCTTCACTCACGACGAACTGATGGCAAACGCTTTATGAATTTAACATACTCATTATTTATGGCCGCCGACTTTGTGTCGGGGCTGTCTCTGGTCAAAGGAAAGTCTGGCAAGGAAAAGTCACATTAGAAACATTAAAATAATTTCAAAACACATAAATTTTGAATTATTGCCACAGAACCGACTCGCACCGGGTCCGTGCACGTCGTAGGCGAGTTTTCAAATCAATTTAGTTGGCCGCCTGTTGGATGGCAACTGGGAGAGCAGGAGAGCCAGGGATTGGGGATTGGGGATGCAACACGGCGCAGTCTGCTGGTGTTTGCACCATAATTAGAGGCAATTTTCAACGATCGTGCGAATGAGCTGCCGTGTGGGCCAGCGTTGCCACCCCGTCGTCGCACTCTTCCCCCCTCTCGTACGTACGTTCCAGTCGAGAGGAGACCCCACTTAAATTGATTTATGTGCGCCTGATCGGGCGCATTTGTCAGGCCGTCGGCAGTCGGCAGTCGGACCTGGTGCTGGCTAGTTGCTTTCCAGTTGTTGCTAATTAAATTTGCATAAGTGGGCGCACAGTTGACAATGGGCGTGGTCGTGTATTACAGCTGCTTACTACTGATCTCAGGTAGTACCTGGAATTGTGCACCCTTGTGCGTGACCTTGGCCCAATTCTTGTCTACCCCTAACAAGGCGAAGGGTCAAGGGGTCACCTAAGACAATGCGGTGTTTAATGAAGGGCTCACATCTTGGCATTTGTCAACGGTCTGCTCCTGCATTCCGATAGTTTCTCAGGCTTTTCCGGACATTTGTAATTTAATCAGCGCAACATTGTCTATCGTGAATCTATGGGTAAGAATTAGTATTTTGACATTTGTACATTTTCTGACAATTTTTTTATTGCTTTCGATTGAATTTCTAGAAAAATATACACGTAACCTCAAAGTGGGCCAACTAACAAGCAACCTAACCTTAAAATGAGGGTAACTAACGGTGAAGCCAATTACAAGCGGCAAACAAAAAGCAATAATAAAATCAAATTCAAACATGCACACGTATGCATGTGTGTATGTGTGCAAGTATGTGTGTGTTTGTGTTTTTGACAATGCAATAAATGAGCAACTTTTCAAAACGAAAGTGTCGATAGGCGGCGGTTCGTACATCCAAACAACAACAACAACAACAAGAAGCCAACGCAGGAGAGACAGAGAGGCAGAAAGCAAACGGTAGCTAAAAAGGAAGTGCCATAAAAATGCAATTTTAGATTTCATCAACTGATAAGAAAAGTTTTCAAATTAGCCACAAAATGGAATATGAAATACGAATATTGCGAATGAAAACTGTAAAATGAACAACAACAACAATAAGAACTTATACTCATATGCTTGATTAGAAAACAAAACAAGTGTGCTTCAGTTGGGTGTACCCGACTAGAAGCTGCCCTGGCGGGAGATATCCAAAACGTGTTTCTGGTTTCGACATACGCTGAAATGACTCTTATATGATATTGATGCGTTCATACATACGAACTGAAGGACAGATATGTTTACATCGACTTGGCTGCTTATAATGAACGAGAATATATATATACTTAATGGAAAGTCAAAGAAGTCTCCTGCTTGTTACAAATTTTTGCGCAAAACCATTATACCCTTTTTTACCTACTTTCAGCGGGTACAGGGTATTAGAAGGACGACAGCGAATAGAGAACGCTTAACTAACGGAAAGGCAGCCGCTGCCAGTCGGCCTACAAATTGCTGGAGTCACGCCAAAATACCGTTAGAAAGTTTTGTTCCGACCGTTGAGCTCCACCGTGTTTCAGCGACCACCCACGCCCACCAGCCGCCCCCGCGTGCGGTGGGATATATACAGTATACACAGCATACTCTAAGCACTGAGTACGGTAAAAGTATCAATTTCACTTTATCAAATGGTAACAATCGCAGTGCTAGAGATTAAAATAATAATCGAAAAGGATAAGAAAGACGAAAGAAAGCAAAGAAATGCGTTCAAGCAAACAGTCGGCGACGTCGGCCAATCTTAAAGTGCAGATCAATGGCAGAGCAGACAGCAGCAGCAGCAGCAGCAGACATCACTCAACATAATTAACGCCATATAAAAAGAACGCGCTCGGATTGGCAACAGCATCCGCATTCGGGTCCAAACAGTAGCTATGCCAAGGTAGCTGATGCGGCGCCTGCAGGATTTGTCCAAATGTTAATGATGATCCCTCCAGTTCACATTCAAACGGAGAGGGTAGTTGCCAGTCCCTGTGTGCGAGTGTGTGTGTGTGTGTGTGTGTGTGTGCGTGCGCGCCGCCGTCGTTTGTTTTTGTATTTAATCATTGCACTGGTGCTAATCCTGAGGGCGGCATGTTGTTTGTTTTGGTTTTAGGCAGATTTGCCAAATGCTGATGCGATTTTAATTAGGGCACGCATATGACATTTATTTGCATATATTTCAAAATAGTTAATCTAAATCATTAGGGTATATTAAAAGCAACAAATTTCGAAGCCTTACGCGTCGTTTATTTAACTTTTTTATTTTTAAATTATGCATTTAAACATAATTAACTTTAACGTCATTTTACTTTCATAAATGCAGCAACATTCAATGGCACATATTTTTCGCTGTCTGGCAGCGCTGCCGCACAGTGTTGCAATGCGCTGAAATACTCTAAATTCACTTGCTGGATTTCAGTATTTTTTGTATATTTATTTGAACAAAACTTTGGTTTTTTTTTGCTTTCCATGAGCGGCCGCAGTCTTAGTCTTTAACAAGTCGTTCGTGGGTCGTGTAAATAATGTAAGAATATTTAGTAGTTTTGTAAGGGCAAAAAAACCCAAAATACAAGTGGCAAAAATTTGATTTAGACGTATGTTTACATGCGACAATTTAAATTGCTCAGCAAAGAGCTGTGAAATCGAAAAAAGCAATAGCAGCAGAATGCACACCAACACACAGACACGCGTACATAGAGCCATACATATGCATATGTATATTTTCCGTCTACGTTTCAATTTGATTTTCGGAAATTTCACCTTCGCTTTGCTGTTTTCGGCTATTTCAAACTTGTTTTTCAGCTGTGTCTGTTTCATAGTCTCATTTTTTTTTTCATTTACCTTTGCCAGCCGCTCACTTTTTTCGTTTGCTTACGTATTACGTGTGTTAGTGTGCGTGCGTTTCACGAAATTATCACTAATTTGCACTAAAATGGGTTGTAAAGTGGTATAATTTGATGCGTATTCAAGTACGTACGTACGTATATGCACACATGTATGTATATTCGTTCGTATACGACTTGCTATGTGAGATCAGCTGTAATTTACATAAAGAAATTGGCAACGCTTACACGGCACGTGTAAGTGTACGTTTTACTTTTGTATGTGTATGCATATGCATGTGGTGGTTCTGAGTGTTGGTGCGTGTTATCGCAAAAGTGCTGTGCTCGTACATACAAACATACATGTCTTGAGAGCAAATTTGCCATACATACCTACGTTCATATGTATTTATGGAATGTTTATTTGCATTTGCATTCAATTGTGTTATATCGATAAAGAAAGCACACTTGCGACAATGTGCAACCTGAAGGCGACCAATCGTGGGGTCTTTGCAATTGATAAATATTAGTGGAATGCGCTTACGATTTACATAAATAATGCGTAGTTGTTGCGAAATGTGTGTCAATATGTGAGACAACGACGCGTCAAACCAGCAGGTGCAGCTGGCCAGTGTTGTAAAACGAAACAAATACATATGCTATGCTTGTAATTATGTGCTCGTGTGTGTGTATGTGTGTGAACAGTGCAAACATATGGCAAAAATGACAGAAAAAACTTCAATAATAATTGTTGCATTCTCTTCGCAGCCCCGCAGTTGCCTAACAACAACTGCAACTAAGACTTAAACTGACTGTAATGATGGGATCAAAGCAAACGTAACTATGCTCCTAGCAATTACGCCGAGTCGCACGAGATTCCAGCACCAATGCCAAATGTGACAAAGCAAACGCGTGAATGCCGCCGTGAAGGAGTAGCAAACGAAGCAAACAGAAATAGAAATCAAATTACAAGTAAATCAAGAAGAGCCGCAACAATAACAAATTCCAACCCACACTCGCACCCCCGGCTACGGCGTGTCGTACCTACAAGAACACAATTTTGATTTTCTTTCATTTCGTTTGCATCGATTAAAACGTGTTTGTTTGCGTGCAACACTTTTTCCACCGTGTCCCGGCGTGTGCGAGAAAGTCTTGCAACGTACAAAACAACACGTTGATAAGTACGGCCGCAAAAATTCCCAAATCCGTGGCAACATCCAAACTGCAGCGCCTCAAAGCCAAAGCAGCTGCAAGTCAACACTACGGCGGCAGTTATCGTAAGTCCGGTAACAGCGGCAGCAACGGCAGCGGCGGCGGGGGCGGGGGCGGCGGCGCTGGCAGCGACTTAACTAATTTTACAACAACAGGCGGCTACAACTATCAACGCGGTGGCGCTGCGGAGGAGCGTAGCTTTGCTGCAACAGCGGCGACGTCGGCGTTGGCGTTGGCGTCTACAGCTGCCGACACAGTTGGCGAGAAGTCATATCACTACAACAACAACAACAACAACATTAGCACTAGCAACAACAACAACAACAATTATCAAAAGTCAAACTACACCAGTGCCAATTATAATAATCAGACCCCAACAAACCACCTGCCTTACCAGCCTACACCATACTCCTCCCACAACAACCACAACAACAACAACAACAGCAACAACAGCAGCAGCAGCTGCAGCGGAAACGGGGGAACGATGATGATGACCAAACAGAAGCCAACGCTTACCGAGCGCCTCAACATTGGTGGGGACGAGGTTCGCGAGCTGAAATTGGGTGCCACATTCAATCCGAAAAATACATCGACCGCATTTCACACAATCAAATGTGAGTTGTACACAAATTCTGTTTCTGTTTTCGCTCTGTACGAGTTATGCAATCATCTACGATTTCCAGATGACTTTAAGCCAGCGAGTGTGGATACGAGCCGGATGGCAACTGTGGATGTTGGCTCCAATAATCAAGTTACTGTTACCGTGCCAAATTTAGGTAAGTTGTCAGACTATTCCACACATCCACGTCCACGAAACAAGTGGATGCGAGTTCAAGACTTTAAGAGATGCATTAGATGGAAATAGAATCAGATTTGGGGCACTTAACGTCTAAAACTTATTCGATGCTTGAATAATCAGTTGCTGTTATCGCAATTTAAGAGCTGTGAATTCATTTATCGATCACCAAAACAGCTGTAAAACTTGGGGGACAATTTAGAAGAATTCCGATTAATAATAATTTGTTTACTGAATTTCATTATGAATTTACAAACATAATAATCGGGAAACCCCCTTCGTTGCTCTTCTATAAAAATAATAAAATCAGAACAAGCTTCAAACAATTAACTTAATTGTTGTTAACTAACAAATTCCTCGACGCTTTGTGAGCTATTTTCCTCGCATACATTTTTGCAATGCATTTTGCTTATAATTTCATTAAATACAAATGCTAATTATCAATTGCATTCCGCAAAAGAGTAAAATGCTATGAATCCATGTCTATTTATCGATCATTTTAAATTAATTGAATACTTCAGTTTTTGCGTGTTATTGACATATCGATTACTAAAATTTCGATATCTTAATTCCCATTATTGAAAATGGTATTGATATCTATAGAATAGTGGGAAAATATACTGACAAATCCAAAGTAAATGCATGAGATATAATCTCCGGATAGTCACAGACTTACCCAATTAGCATTATGTTAAGGCGGGCACGTGTTATTTGCAACTGAATCCTTTCGGTCGAAAATGAAGTCAAATTTCTCGGCAACCCGTCAACAGAGGAAGCAGAACATGTTTTAGTGAAAGTCATTTTGATGAATCGCCAAAAATCGGGCAGGAGCAAAATTAAACAGGAAACCATTTAATTAATTACCACAATGAAGACACGCAATCAAATCAGCGCAAGCTGCCATTTAGTATGCAAATCAAATACATTAATACAATTACATACTAAGTATGCTAATAAACAGAACTTGTTCCCCGAATGTTGACAAGCTGCGTGCACATTAACCCCAAACACAGCTGATCGACCCGCTCATCGCATTCCAAATGAGTCACAGCCACAATCGATAAATTCCCTTCCATTTCACGTAATGCAAGTGAAATAAAGGTGGAAGTGCAAAAGAGAGATCCTCAACTTTAAAAACATGTATGTATCTACACTTGTATGCACTTTGGCTCGACTTACCTCTCTCTCTCTCGCCGTCTGCCGTCTGCCTGCTGATGACATAATTTTTTGCGGCATTATATGAAACGGTTTGGCCAAACTGCTCGCACGAACAGCACACAAATTAATAGTTTGCCTTATGCATTACTTGGCTCGAAACGACGACAAACATACAAAGCCGAGAATGAGTCGGTTGAGCTCAACTAAGAGATACCCATTACCATAACCTCGATAGGTATTATGCGACTATTCGATCTTTATAATGTCAAAGTATTTTTCTTTTAGCTTGTTATTTAACAAGATTTTACTGCGACCTAATGAGGTTGGAAAGTAGACAATCAATATGCTAGTTTTTAGCTATAAAAATATCTATGTACGATATCTTCAGGGATATCAAATTTCATAAATATGTATTAAGGGAATTGTCAATCTATAAGTACCTTATAGATTCATCCCATATGCTTTTATAGATTGACTCTGTATTCATTATTTTTTCTGATTGCACGCATTAGCATAATTGCATAATACCCGTTCGACCCAGTTTTATTAGTACAGGGTATAACGACAGCCACGTCGATTGAGGCAAAGAAACGAAATTACATCAAGTCAGGCAAAATGCAACCAAGCGTTCAGGTTTTTATTTAGCTATGCTCTTTGTGTCCAGACAGGCGCAGTTGTTATTATTTTTATTTTTTTTTCTATACCTTTTTACAACTAACTCGGTTTAGGTAACGCTTCGTTGATTGCCATGGCATAGCCAAAGACTTGACGGGCGATGATGATTCAACGACAATCGACAATCGGTCAAGTTTACTTAGTTGACAAACTAAAAAGCATTAAATTAAACTAAATTCAAATGGGTTCTATTTTGATCGATACACTTAATCCTATTCATCTATCACCCATTCAACTTCTATCATTTTCTTTATGGGTATGATTCCTAATTCTAGATCTAGAGTTTCTTTATCTGCCAGGTAGACTTCTAATAAACTCCTCTGATTAGCAAGTAGAAAATATAAAGTTGCTACTGCCAAACTCCAAAATCTAGATTTCCTAAAACCACAGATTAAAACTTTTCTCGATAAGCTCACAGTTTTTGGGATATACTCAAAAATATTGGAGTACTCAGTTAGTTTTGCAGCGTTGCAGATTTGAACGACCAACAGAGTGCCCAAAGAGCTATTATTTCTTTGCATTTTGATTGCCTATAATCGCTTCTATAATCATATAATTGCTGATTTGTT